GAAGTTATCTTACTTCTCAGGGTCAATTCTGAGTGGTGTCCTAGATTTAACAAGTGGCACATTTAACAACTGGCTCTCTGGGAAAGAAAAGTATAGACTCCACAATTTTGAGTTTAATCTGCATTGTTGATATTTTCTCCATCCCTTTCTTAAGTCTAGACAATCATCAGAAAATAAATCAAGCTCTGATTTGTAGCATTTGCTGATTTCTTGAGTGTCAGTGCTCATACTGAATATTTAACAATTGACTGAGTTAGAACTGTTTCTAGCATACTGCTGGGAAAGTTCCATAGACTCCAAATTCAATGTTCTTTCTGTTTCCTCATGGGAAGAAACATATTAGAATCCCTGAAAGTTCTTAGAAAAGTACTAAAAAGTCCTTCCAAGATGGCTCTTAGAAGGAATTGGGAACATCTAACCAGGATACTTTCCTAGGGAGAGAGAAGGTATATTTGCCAGCAGCTTTCAACCCCAGTGGTCTTCAGTTTCTTCCATTACTGGGAGGGAGCTAGAGATAGGTGTAAGGCCAGCTAAGAAACTTCAGAAATTTCCAGGTAGGCACTCACTGCTGCCCAAACATCCTGGTGCTACAGAGGGTCACTTGTCCTTTTGTGAGAATAAAACACGAACACAAACAGTCAGAAGAAAACAAAACATCAATCTGTAATTTGGGGCAGGATTGCATAGGAAATATTAAGTGCCATGATGAAAATCACCAGCTATAACTTCAACCTGGAACCTGGAGTTTGTTTGATAGAGCATCAGAACTGATGGGACCTTAGAGATCCATTCTAGCTTCTCCACTTATGGGGTAAGCAAATATAATTCCATACAAATGAGTCACAGTAGGTTGGCAGCCCATGACAATCTACCCCATTTCTTTATAAGCACTAGATTTTATTCATTTAATAAAAATCTTGCGATACTATGATTTTTCTGTCCCAAGGTCGCACACATCAAAAAAGTAAACAGTACAAGTTATTTCTAGAGAAGGATTTTATTTTGCTATGAAATCTTAAAGAGATTCCATTAGGACCACCAGAAAATCAATTCCTTCGTCCTAAACATGATGTCAATTATAGTTTCTCATTTTTTTTGGTATCCTAAACAATAACAAAGACAGCATGGCACAGGAGGTAGAGAGCCAGCCTTGAGGTCAGGAAGAGTTGGGTTCAAGTCCTCAGACACATACTAGCCACGTGACCATGACTATGTCACTTAACCTCTTAGGATCCCAGCAATTCATGAGGACAGTAAAAGTACAAATGATTGTACTCCACACTTCAGTGGAGGGCATTTCCACACAGAATTCTCAACCCTGATGAAATGGCAGGTTGGTGCCCAAAAATAAGAATAAAAAAATCCCTGATCTTAACAACATGAACACTGAACTTCAAAGCCTTTGAAACACTTTACATACATTTTGTCATTTGAGTGAATTTGATGAAGTCTAATTACTATTTCCTTTGCTTGTGTATCTGCACAGGTTCCCATACAGATTCAAAACAAGGAGAATATTTCATCAGGGGTTAGGAGCAGTTGTTTTTATATAACAGTGGTTGGTTATTTATTTATCTGTATCATTTCTAGCAAGTAGAGAAAGCCAGGATCGCCCAAAAATTCAGCCAGTTAGGAGATAGTCATGGTGCAGGTTCTGAGCACTCAATTCCTATTCAAGAAAATTTACTGGCTCAGAAAGACTTTGCAGAAGAGATGCTAAGGTGAGGAGACATTTTGTACTCTCCGTGGTGGACAAGTAGAGCAAAGACTGATACAATCTCTTAATTGCCAAATCTAATGACCTTTTCTCAATCCTCAACCTCCTTGATGTCTCTGCAGCATTTGAACACTGTTCATTCATCTTCTCTGCTGGGATACTCTTCTCTCTGGGTTTCAGTGACACTGCTTTCTATGGCTCTCTTCCTACCCATTTTGTCACTTATTTCCAGGCCCCTTTCCTAGGTCTTCATACATGTGGGCCCATTAAATACAGATGTCCCTCAATGCTCTGTCCTGAACCTTCTTTTCTCTCTATGCAATCTCATCAGCTTCAGTGGATTGAATTATCATCTCTCTGCAGGTGACTCCCAGATCTATCTGGCCCTACTATCTTCCTCTCCTGAACTCTAGTCCATCACAACCTGCCTTTTGGACATTTTTAACTGGATAAAACTGTATGTCCTACAGATATCTCAAACGTCACATGTTCAAAACAGATCTCATCATATTTCTTCTGAAACTTCTGAACTTTCCTATTATTGTCAAGGGCATCACATTCTTCCTAATAACCCAGGCTTGAAACCCTTGGCGACATTCTCCACTTCTCAATCTCTCTCATTCACCAAATCTTGTTATTTCTACCTTCACAGTACCTCTCATATACATCTTCTCTCCACTCACACAGTTATCACCCCAATTTCACACCTCATTATACCTCTAGCCTGGACTACTGTAATATAGTCTCCTAATTGGTTTCTATGACTATTTTCTTCCCACTCCAATTCATCCTGCCATAGTGTTTTCCATAGCTGCAAAGTGTTTTTCCTAAAGTGCAAGACTGATCATGTTCAATGAACTCCCATTGCTTCTAGGATCAAATATAAAATCCCTTTTTTTGGGTGGGGGGCAGGAGGAAGTGAGCATTTTAAGCTCTTCCCAACCCAGGTCCTTCCTGTTTCTCTAACACTACAATATGGCCACACTGGCTTATTTGCTATTCCTGGGGCACAACACTCAATGTCCTATCTTTGTGCCTTTGCACTGGCAGTGCCCAAGCCTGTGATGCTCTCCCTCTTCATTTCTAGCTTCTTTTAAGACTCAGCTCAAAGCACACCTTCAACTGGAGGATTTCCTGGTCTCTCACCCTAGAGCCTAAGGTTACCATCATTTACTTATTGTCTCCCTTATTATACATATTGTCTCCCTTATTATAACATAAACTCATTGAGGACAGGAACTGGGTTTTTTTTGCCTCTCTTTGTATCCTTAGCATTAAGAACAGGGTTAGACACCTAGTAGGTGCTTAATAGTAACTGATAATACCTTGGTACTTTTCTCTATGGATCCACTAACTGCAACTGAGGAGGCAGTTTTCTTTGTAAGGAAGAAAATTTAGCTGGCGTTCTCCTATCACACCATTTACAAATTCTCTGCTGTTTCATGGGTCTCCTGTTTCATAACTATTGCTCTCTTTAATTATCAGTATCACTCAAAGTTATACGCCCATGAAGGTGTCTGCCTCTGTTTATAATTTGTTATGGCTAAGTCTGTGTCTGCTGAATTCTGCACTTTTCACCATATTCATAATGAAATGCTTGTTTAGGGTTTCTGGACATGGATCAATAATAGCTTTATCTTTCCTAAATATTTGATATTGACCCACGTATCATCTAGCCCAGTATTTTCAAACTCAAATTACGTTTGCCTTAATTAATCTATTTTATATTACTCCTTCCTAAGAGTCTGTTAGTCCAATTATGTATTCCTCAGAACAAAGGACAGTATATAATACCTTGCTCAGCTGTAAGCAGACTCCTTCAAAATGAGTATGTGGGATCACTGGTTTAGCCAATGGAAAAACCCATATATCATGACTTTGGACCTAAATTTACTAAGCTTGAAGCATTGAGAAGGTTCCAATTCTTATTCCTCTGGTTGTCAGTATGTTGTTTGCACTGAGTTGATAACAGCTGAATATTCTTTTTTGGCTTCATGATGAGCAGAGGGACTGCCAGTGTCTGCCTGCAACCAGCTCTGTAACCACTGCTGGGGTGGACTGTTTCAATGTATGGAGCCAGTCAGGGGCTCTTTCCTGCCTCCAGTTGCCTTTGAAGTCCAGGGGAGGGGCTGACTGGAAGAAATGACTATAGTCCTGAGTTTGTTTAGAGAACTGCAGATCCAGTGCTTCTGTTGGGATCTGGCACTTGGTTCCTTGAAGTGAGAGCCTAATCCTTGAGCTCCCATGGAGAGAGATGAATTGAATGAGACTTGCACTTCTAAAATCTGTTTTATATAGTCTAGCATTGTGTTGATGGTACTAGTCTATCAGGCATAATTCCCTACTATATGGTTTTTCTATAGACTACGCCATCTATTTATTTATTTATGATACAGGGTGAAATCAAGCAAGAGAGAAGGAATTGAGTGATAGAAAAATGCTATTATTTGAGCTCAGAGTTATGTCCATACTGAATGGTCACAGGACAACACTTTTGCCCACAAATCTAAAGTGTGTCCCTCTCTGCATCTAGGCTACTCAGAATTTGATATCAATTCTAGTCAATTTGTCCTATGCCCCTTGCCTCCAAATCTTTGGGTATGATGGCCAGATTCTTTCTCTCAGAAGCTGATTAGGCTGGTGTTTGATAGAATTCCCCATTCCTGGCCTACCAGAGGACTGGAAGTAAAGATAGTGTTTGATTTTGTAATAGAACTAGATTTGAAAACCGACAAAAAGAGGAAAGTCAAACCCCCAAACCAGATATATTTGAAGACAACTGCTCCCCTGACTTCCCCCTTATTATTCATTATAAAGAATATTAACAAATAATATTATAAACAATAAATTAGTAAAGAATAATTTATTATATATTATATGTAATGGAATATAATATTATATACCATATTATATAAAAATATAAATATAATTAAGAATATAACAAGAGTTTCCAAGATTCATTCAACCAAGCAGCCTTGTGAGGAAGATTAGTAAGTATTATCCACATGTTACATCTTTGCATTAGTAAGTGTTATCCTTTACTATGGAGACGCTCAAGGCCCAGAGAGGTTAATTGCCCCTCCTAAAGTCACACAACAAGTTAGTCAGAGAGGCAAGATTAGAGCTGTGAGCCCCAGCTTGTTACTTAGCTCAAAACAGAGTCCTTCATCCACCACATCCCATTGCACTAGCCAAAAGGTTTTCCGGTCAGCTAGGACAATATGCCTAAGGAGAGTCACTATAATTGGGTTGCTGAAGAAGGCAGAGAGATTTGAATACTCACAAGTAGAAACCTGCAGAATCCTTCTGTGTACCATCAGACAGCAACACTTCTGTGCTGGAACAGACAGAAATAATACTCTAGTCGAGCTGACACTGCACAGGTGGAGGCCTAGCTCTCAACTCTTGAACCTGGCTTTAAAACTTTAACTACGTCGGTAGCATAGTTGTTGAAGCGGTGCATTCCACAGGAATGTATACCTTTTCCATCAAAAGCAACATCTGCTATGATGGTTCATGGTGAGGGAGGTTCTAATGTTGTAGTTGGAAATTTCAACTACCAAGCCGGAGACTTTTGTACCAGTGCTGACTTTGCAACTAACTCTGAGAAAGACACTAAATATCTCAAGTCTGAATGTTTCCCTCTAATAACTGGAATCAGACCACTCCCTTTCTCTTTACACAGATATGAAAACACGTTTGAGTTTTTCATCAAAAGACATGAACATAGCTGTTAGAAAGGGAGTTACATGTCTTTAGTCTTTTGGAGGCCCATGGGATTTGGATTCAAAAGACCTATATTTGAATCCTGGTTCTGTCATTTCTTGTGCTACTTAAGACAAATCTTAGCCTCCATTTTTCTCCTCTGTCAAGTGAGGATGTTGGCTTATTTGGACCAGTGGTTCTCAAACTTTTTGGTCTCAGGATCCCTTCACACTCTTAAAAATTATCAAAGACCCTAAAGAACTTTGTTTATGTGAGGTATATCTATTGATAATTACTGTATGAGAAATTAAAATGCCTTAGTATTATTATGAAAATAATTTGACCTTGTGGATTCCCTGGAAGAGTCTTGGGGACCACAAGTAATTTGGAGATCACACTTCTGAGAACCACTGATTTAGAAAATTCCTAAAGTTCCTTCCAACTCTAAATCTTATGATTTTTTTTTTACTTCATAGGTCTCACTGATGAGAGTAGAAGACCAGATTTTCATTATATATTATGCAACATACCCACACATATGTACACATATTTGCATATATGTGTATACACACACATAATATTCCATTATGTTTCTTCTTCTCGACTCCCTTTTGGTAACAGCTTTGCTTAACCTCTCTGTGCCTTAATGGACCCATTCCTAGAAAAGGCACTGTATTTCAGAGGGCAACTTCAGATTGAGCTAACTCTCCTTGGAGATACTCTGATGAAAAAATTCTTGAGAAGCAAATTCCTTACACATCCTACTACATACTCTTCCCACTAAGTCGGCTACTTTTAAGCTTTTAACAGGAAATTTATTTTAAGAACGCCAATCCTAAATCATCCATCTGACCTTACCTCCCTTCCCCTTCTACCCACACATCTTCCAAAACCAATGAAGAAGCTAAATGAAGCTTCCTTTAAAATCACAGAATTGTAGGACTAGTGAACATCTCTTCCAACTCTCATTTTTCAGATGAGGAAGTTAAGGCCCAATGTTATACAGTGATTCGCTTAAGGTCACACAGCAAGTGGCAAAGCTGGGACTAGAATCCAGGTCTTGTCAGCATCACCTGTTGATTGTTCTTTCCACACTGTGAGGCCCCTTGCCTGCCCCCTTTCTCAGGCTCCTACTGCCACAGCCAATGCTCTTTGAAGCAACCATCATCCTCTGCTTTGGGAAAAAGCCTCCCCTTTCCCCTGAAAGAACATTATATGCATCTACAAAAGTTTCTGGAGAAACATTTCCCATCATTAAGAGATTTAGAAAAAAATTGGCACAGCTTACTAAACTTTGAAGCTTTCTCTCCCCAACCCCCCTCTCCTTCCTGGCCCTTTAATTGTGCTTGGAACTAGTGAAGTTCCCAGAGTCACCCTCCCCTTTAGAATAACGGGAAGATCCCAAAGTAGAATCCCCTCTCCTGACCTTTCTCCACCCTCTCTTAAAGCAACCAAAAGCTGACCCCTCAACATTTCTATTTAGAGGCAATACTTTGCTAATGCACCAAGGGATCTCCCACACACAAAAAACTCCAAAGTCCCAAGAGCTAAGGATCTAGTGCAAAGAATGAAGATTTGGTCTTAACACTATAAAGACACAAAACCTAAGACTGTTGAGGATTTCAGTATACCCACTTGTAGGTTTGTCATTAAAAATCCTGGTTCACACAACCTTGCTTCATGGCTGATACAACTGAATTTGCTAATACACTAGATTTCTCTTTTCAGATTTCAGAGAGAATATGAAAGGGTTGCAGAATTCCTTAACTTTCTACTATTTTAAAGATTATGATATATAAGTAGATATGTCATATATAATATATATATATATATATATACATATATATATATTTAAAGGGTACATGAAGAAAACTTGAATGAGGAGAAAGTTGATACCTCTTAGAATGGGAGAAAAAAAAAACCCTTACTCCTATAACTGAAATGGAGATCAACACCTTACCTTCACCTCTCCTGTCTTATTTTGAAACCTTCACTAAACATGGCTCTTAGCACTCCCAAAAGGAACTATGGGAACATTAGAGAGTCTTAACTAATATGTTTTCTTAACCCAGTTACGTAACTGAATAGGTACAGCTTCTTGGTAGATGTGTAACTGGATTAAGAAACAGAAGCACATACATAAAGATACGACATTCTTACAACATACCGTTGCCCAAATTAAAGTCGATTTGTTTCAGTTAGGCAGTGCTTCATTTCAAAACATGTTACAATTTTGGTTGCCCCTTGCAGAGGCATTCCAAAGCTCAGCCAAGAGATAGCAAGTTATTAACATCTGGCACCAGAAAGAACTCCACAGCTGGAAGAGCAGTAGGAACCAAATTTCTTGATCACATGATACAATTCTACCCAATGAGCTCAAACTAATTGAAACAAGGCTATAACTCTATGTGTTATAAATATGCAAACATAAGGAGGACAGGAATCTTTTCAAGTTACTACTACAGAAGCACAAGACTTAAGTACCACAAATTCCTAAGCTTCTTCTATGAGAACACAAAACAGCAAATCTGAGACAGAAGCATTTTAAAGACTTCTCAGGACTATTCCCTAGAAAGCTTTACCTTTCTAGGAAGCACAATTTACTTTCTTTATATTTGTGGAATCCATTATTACTCTATTGGAACAAAGTGGAGATGAATCAATGTCAATTTTAGTAAGAAAAATTTTCAAGGCAAAACAGGCTCCAAATATTCACTTATACACAACCCATAGTATATAACTTCACTCGTGAAGTACCGAGAACATACAAACACACACATAATGGCTCTCCCACAGCAAGGGCAATTTGAAAAGATCAGAATAGACATTCAAGAACAGAACTTCTATTAAAACTGGAGCTACATACAGCTCTGGCCTTGGAGTCAGGAAGACCTGAGTTCAAACCTCAGACACGTGACTAGCTGTGTGACCCTGGGCAAGTAGCTTAACCCCAATTGCCCCACCAAAAAACAAACAAAAACAACAACAACAAAAAACAAAACAAAAAACCCTAAAAATTATAAAATGTATTTTAAGAATATGAAGAAAGAGACAAGGTATTCTGTATGTTGGGACTTTTTCTTTTGGGGGAGGGAATGAAGAATTTAGAAACAAGCCAAGGCATTTAAATGTCTAATAATAATTGCCACAAATAGTAACAATTCCTCTCTACAACTCTTCCATATCTTGTGATAAGTACCTTGAGTTGTTTTTAATTTAATTGTTGTTGTTATAAACAGCTGCCTGGTCATTCCATAGCTATTCAGGCTTACCAAATAAATTGCCCTCAAATCTCTGTGCTAAGTAGGAGGTTCTGGTAGACTTTAGACAGGGCCAAATCAGGGAGTTCCTCAAGCTAGAGTTCCCATAAAGATGGAAGCATTTAGCTCAGGTGAAACTGTTAATTTGACACATTTTCAAGGTGAAATGATACTACCTGTCAGGAATACTGTGAGGAGTTAAACATCTGCCAGATGCCCCAAGTTCCACAGAGGAAAGGTGTAACTAAATAAACCATTAGTGTTGTAAAAAAGAATGATGGTAAGAATAGCTAGCGATTCTATAGGCTTTTAAGGTTTGCAAAGTGCTTTATGATATGTTACTTCATTTAATTACAGAGTAATTTGGAGATCTGTATTTCAAGTCAGATTATATATCATTTATGTTTATACATGTGTGTACATACATATGTGTATATATAAATATACATGTATGTATATTTATACATATATAGATACATATACACATATATTCATACACACACACCTGAGATGACTCAGGTTTCGCAGATTAGCAGTTAAAGTATCACATCATTTAAGTTACTGCGAGCCAAGATATAGCAAGGAAAGGAAATCCTAAAAACTCCAAACTATGGTGCCATGTTAGTTGAAACTAAAATCTTTTGTCAAGACAACTAGTTGTGTTGCCTAGACAGTCTCTAAATGATTTTTTTGTGCCTTTGGGAGTACTTTATGCTCACAGCAGAAAAAAAATATTGTGGGAATATATACATACATACACACATAGATATATACATATACATGTATATGAATATATACATCTGTGTGTGTGTGTATCTATCTATCTATCTATCTATCTATCTATCTATCTATCTTTAAGAATGTTTAGTTATCTAGTCAGGGGCAGGCAAGAGCCATTAGTAGGAAATCCTGACAATATTTGGGCATTCTTAAGAGAAACCACAAACATTTTACTGTGCTCTAACTTAGAAACAAATATGCTGTATTTTAAAAGAGTTTTCAAGCAAGGACTTGAAAACCCCCAACAAATTCTTGCTTGTTTTCCTTTGTCAGCTGGGCAATGGCAAACTTTTTACTTTACAGGTGGGGAAGAGTCCTAGAGAGATGTTTGGTGACTGGTAGAAAGGGCAAAAATAGATCTTGAGATTTAGAGTTTAAAGAGACCTTGGAGATCAGCTAGTCCAATCTCTCCATTTTATGGATCAAGAAAACTGGGGCCCAGAGAACTTAAGTGACTTGTCTACAGTCACACAGGTTGTAAGTAACAGAGACAACAGGTGAACCCAGGTTTTCTGATTCCAAATCCAGTGGGTTTTTTTCTCTCACTATAACATCCTTGTTGCCTAAGTCACTAGCAAAAAAGAGCTGGATGGGGGAATATGTATATAAGGCTACTTATATACATATATATAAGAAAACTAACAGAAAGAAGACAGATTATCAAAATGCAACAAGGCAAATACTTCCATCTATTCATTAAATCCAAGAACAGAAGCTAATAGTCTATTCTCACTTGGTTTTTTGATCTATTGAATCTTCATTTATTTCTAAGGCCAAAAAAACCCATTGCCTTTCTACCAATCTTTGGAAGGAATCTATCTCTGACTTCAAATGATCTTATTCTCCAATGTTCCCTATAGACCTGAACACCAAATGTAAACATGCAGTTTGCAATGGTGTAGGGTGAGAGACTGGTGTTAGGGGGGTACAGCTAAATAAAAAATTGTCACCTTCTATAAATAGTTATAACTGCCTTTGGGGGAAAGTTCATTTGGAGGGTACAGAGAAAGTGCAATCATGCAGGGAAAGGAAACCCCCAAAATCGGACCCTGCCCTCAAATCCCCAAAGGATTGTGGGGTGAAGCAGACACAGGGAAAAGGTCATCATTGTGAGAGGTGCCTCAGGGTGAGTCCAATGGAACAGCAAAAGCAGTGCTCAAAGTCATCAGTAGCAAACAAGCCACACCCTCCTACCACTCCACCGCACCGCACCCCAGCACCCTGGCAAATAACACTACCTAGTATTTATGTGGGGCTTTAAGGTTTGCAAAGCATTTTACAAATATTATCTTGTTTTATCCTTACAACAATCCTAGGTGGTAGGTGCTATTATTATCCCTCTTTTACAAATGAGGAAACTGAGGTTGACAGCAGTAAGGTAAATTACCCGGGTTCACATAGATAGTGTCATAGTGACGTGGATTTGAACTCTTATTTTTCTATCCACTGAAACACCCAGCATTACTTACAACTCTGTCCATCTCTATTTCAACTTTGGAAACTGAAGCAATCAGGGAGAAAAATGTCTTTTTATTGACAAGCAATTCCTTAGGAGCTGAACATTTTGCTTTAACAATCTCTCTAGAGTCACCCAGCATTTTTATAGAGACCCTTTCCTCTTGCAGTTTGTGAAAGCAGAGATAGGGGTTTAAGAGGAGAGGGGTTTTGCTACCACTCCCCCCCCCCCAAGCCAGATCATAGCTTGCTCAACAAACCAAGCCGGGAAGGAAACTCCAAGCCCCTCCTATTCGGTTCATCTGAAAAACCTGTAGCCGGCTGAGAAGCGGGGTTGTTCTAGAACCAGTCTTTGCACATTAATGAAGTGAGGCAATTTATGTGCATCAGTCAGCTTAGTAACCAGGTAATTGTCTCATTCTGCTTGACTAGCAGAGACCTGCCCTGTGGCTGGGTCTGATGAGATCCAAGGACACAAGATTTCTCCAAGTCTTTCCCTATTTGCTTATCGCTCCAGTTCAGCCCACCTAAGTACTAGGCGGAGGGAGAAGGGTTGTTTTTTGGTTTTGGTTTTTGGTTGAAAGAATGCAGAGGGTGGCAATCCCGTGAAGTCTTCCATTATTAAGGAACAACAGGGTGAGAGTAGAATGCCTTGTTTTTAGGCATCACTCCCAGGGCATCTGGAAAAACTTCATGGGACCAAATTCGTGCCAGGATCTAAGCCTTCCCCCTCATCCCACCACTAAGATTCACACAGCCAAAGTGCTGCCCCTTCTACATGGAGGAAGTCTCCCCCTTCCCAGTCAAACAGAAAAATGTCCCACCCAGACTGGCTCCCCAAAAAGAGAGAGGTCGTAGCCCTTCTTTCTATTTTCTGGCGGAGGGGAGTTGCTTGAGCTTCGCACACCTTTCAAGGCCTCTCGGCCCACAAAGGGGTCTCCAGGGGCTGCCACTCCAGCAGGTGACTTTTTTCCCAGGGTGAGGCGGAAGGACGCTCTAGGGGGAATCTGAGTCGCAACTCTGCTGTACCCCCCACCCCTCCATCCCCTCCCCCACACGCCCCGCACCCCCAAACCAAAAAGCCCACATCCAGACGAAGCCAATTCCCTCCCGGCTTGGCTCATTCTCTAGGGAGGATCAAAGGACCCAGGGCGGGGGCCACCCACACAGAGAGCCCAGGCGCCGGCGCCCCTTCTCTTCCCCTCCCGGGCTAGAGACAGCCGGCTCTTTACCTGCAGTCCGAGAAAGGGGTCGGGGTGTGGAAAGCCTCCCAAACTGCCCTCCTCCAATTTGGAGGCCAGTTTGGCCAGGGGGCAAGTTCCCGAAAGGGGATGGGCGCGAGCGCTTCCCTGGGAATGGGATGCCATGGGTCTCCTCCCGTAGCCTGTTGCGTCGGCAGCCTCAGCTTCTCCCTCACCTTTGTATTTCTCCATCGGGTCTGTGCTTGGTGGCCCCTCCCGCGCTGGCTGTCCCGGGAGCCGCTGGGGCGCTCCGACTGACGGGGCCGGGAGAAGCTCGGGCGCTCCGATTCCCACTCCGGCTCCCCGCTCCCGGCTCCTAGCTCCCTCTGGCTCTGGAGACTTCTCGTTCCCCTCCGTCTCCTCTGGCCCCTCCCAGCAAGGTCACGCCCAGCCGCTGTACCCGCCGGAGCTGCTTGCCCTGCTGGGATCCCTGAAGCTGCCCTGGCAAGCGCGCCGCGGGGGTCCCTGCCCGGGCGGCTGCGACGGCTGCTACTGTCCACGCCCTTCCCGCGTGGCTGAAACTCCACAGGACACAAGGGACGGGCGAGGCAGAACGGGGAGGAGAGGGGCGGGCTGCAGACAGATTGTCTCTTCTTGAACACACACACACACACTTTTCTGAGATTTCTCAGAGTCTGAGGTCACAGGGGGCTGCTGGAAAGCACTGCGGAATGACTGGGAGCCGATGGGAGGGTTACAAGGAGATTACCAAAATCCTGGTAGAAGGAACGAGAAAAAACAATTAAGAAAAAGTCGGCCCAGCTGACCCACACCTGGCCCTAATGCTTTCTCCACTAAGCAAGCCTAGGGCTCCTTTACATTTCCACCTATGGAGCAGGTATTTGTGTGCTTCTCTCTCCTGCTAAGCTCTAAGTCTCTACTTACTTCCACACCACACTGCCTCGAACATCCCAGGTGCTCTATGAAGGGCTGTTGAAGTGCGTTGAGCTAAAAACCCATTTAGGCTCCGAATGTTTTCTCCACCTTCTCAAACACTTGCATCATGGGATCATAGCTTTAGTAAATTGGAAGAGACGTTAGAGGTAATTTAGTCCAACCTTGTTTCACAGAAAAAGAAACTGAAGCCCATCAAGGTGAAATGACCTGCCTCGAACAAGTGGCGGTTTGAATCCTCATTCAAACTCAGGCCTTCTAACACCAAATTCAATCTTTTCCCTTACCTTCCCCTCCCCCTCTAAATTATCTGCCCTAGACATCACACTGCAATAGACACTGGCTTCCTGTAGGTGACTTCCTGCTCTCCAGCTTCCTATCGAGATGGTCTCGGAGGGCCTTGTGAATAGAATGCTATATTTGTAGTCAGGAAGACCTGGGTTCAAATTCTACTAACACTAGCTGTAGAACTGACCATGAGCAAGTCGCTTAAACTCTCCGAGCCTCTTTCCTCATCTGCAAATTTAGAGATAGATAACACCTTTAGTCTTATCTCATCAAGCTATGAGACTAAAGTGATATGTGAAGTGCTTTTACAGTTTTAATGCAGTGATATTTGTGTAAATTAGGGACAGTGGATAGAGTGCTGGGCCTGGAGTCAGAAAGACTGGAGTTCAAATATGACCTCAGACAATTATTAGTTGTGTGACCCTGGGTAAGTCACTTTGCCTCAGTTTCCTCATCTGTAAAATGAGCTGGAGAAGGAAATGACAAACCACTCCAGTACTTTTGCCAAGAAAACCTTGAAAGGGGTCATGAAGAGTTGGATGAAAATGAGAGAAAAACAACAAAAATGTGTAAATTATTATTATTATTATGTGCCTGCTCTGAGAAAACTTTTGCTAACCTTAAGATGCTGTATAACTGTGAGAAATTATAACTAGACCCAGATTAAAGAAAGTAGTCATGAGTAACCCCAGGCTTCAAGAATGATTCTGAATGTCCCTTCTGTCCACTTCCCTGAAATCATAATAAGTAAAAGATTATTCTACAAGACAGAAGGATGTGAGCTATAAATCAAATGATGTGTTTCTTCTCTAAGCACCATGATGAAACTTTACCATATCTCCATCATCTAACTTTTACTCTCTTTAGTTATGTTTATTCAAAACACAACAATAAATATTGACTTAAGGCTTCTTCACTTGAATTTGCCTCATTTTTTCCCTCTGCTTTTGTTTTTCTTTTCTGGGACATTTGCTCATTCCATCAAGTTTGATGCCTGGGTTCTCTACAAGATTTTCCCTTTCCCCTTTTGGAATGAGATTCTTTAAAAAGCTTTAAATATATATATTATAACAAATATGTAACATAACATAAATAAATAATTCATTAAAATAAATATTTTAAATTAAATTTTGGACACAGAGCATAAGTTTTAGTTTTCATACATTTCAAAATTCTACAACTAATGCACAGAAATATTATTACTCCAGTTGCTGATCAAATTATCCTCTCAACTCTAGTTTTTGCCTCAATCAATATCATCTTAATTATTGCCTAGCCTTCTGTCATTCTGCCTCTCTATATTTCCTTCTCAATATGGACTCCACTTAATATGTCGCTCCACTTTAGGTTATATAGCTCTTCGATATTTGTCTTTTACCTACTTCCTCTCCTTTCTCCCATGGCTAGGATCTTTTATATTATCTTTTCTAGATCCTCTCTACTTTGTCCTCAGAGACTTAGCAAAGCTCAGACTGTCTCTGTGCTAAAAAGAAAAAAATCAATCAGTTATGAGAAAAAGGAATTGAAGATGGGAATTTACAATCCTTCTGAGAACTACACAAACTCCCACTGTGGGATTGATCTTCGAAATCATTACAGTTCCTACTATTAAGCATCCCTCTATCAGAGGCTTATAGGTACTTTAACACTTTACCTTCACAGTCTTTTCAGCAACTTCTACAAAAGGAGGTGATATTCAAAAAGCTTCACTTTGTTGTTGTTTTTCAGTCATGTCTGACTCTTCATGACCCGTTTTGGGGTTTTCTTGGCAAAGATACTGGAGCAGTATGCAATTTCCTTCTCCAGCTCATTTTACAGATAACTAAGGCAAATAAAGTTAAATGACTTGCAGACGGTCGCACAGCTAGCAAGTGTCTGAGGCCATTGTTGAACTCACCAAGAAGAGTCTGTCTCCAGACGTGGCACTCTGGCACTCTATCTACTGTGCCACCTAGCTGTCCCAAAAGCCTCACTACAGGGGCATTTGATATGTCCCAGCCCACTGAAACTAATTTGCAGATCTTAGAAACTGAAACAGAAGTGATAGATTGGCCAATAATCCTAAAAAGCAGTAATCCCTTAGCACATTTTGACAGCAGCACCACCTCTTCTGGGCTACCTCTCAACTTTTACTAGCAGATTGGGTCCCTAAAAGGCAACTACCCTGAGGTATAAGGTATTCTGTGAGTCCCTAAAACTTTAGCCCATAAGGAAAGAAATAAGCGTTTATTAAATGCCCAACATTAAATGCACTACATTAAACACTTCACAAATATTTCATTTGATCCTCATAACAATCCTGTGAATAATAATTCTATTATTATCTCTACAGTGGAGGAAACAGGTAAGGAGAAATTAAATGACTTGCCCAGCGTCACACAGCTAGCAAGCATTTGAGGCTGGATTTGAACTCAGTTCTTCCTGACTCCATGCCCAGTGCTTCATCCATTGCATCACCTAGCTGCCTTCTAAGCCCCGCTTGGTGTTTATTTTTAATAGCAAGCCAGTAGTCACAACTAGCTCAAAGTAAAGGTATTTACTGAGATGGGCTTGTAGGAACAACAGTAACAAAACATTCCTCCCATAAATTTGGGGTGTTTTTTTCCACAGCTACACATAGTAGCCATACATAGTTTCATTGGGCACACACACAGAGTACAGTAGAAGAGAGGCAGGCACTTGGACAACTCATACCTCCAGCACTACAGAACCCTAATTTCCTTTCCTTTGATACAAGCTGTTTCAAGAAAGGCTAGCTCCCTTCCCATCACTACCCCCTAAAAGAGATTGTTCAGACTTTCATGAGGCAGAACAGTGGATATCTCCATTAATGCCAGTGATTTTTAGTCAAGGGAATATGAGATTAGGGTTTTTCTCTGCCTGTATTTAAACATAACTTCACAAAATTATGGCGTGTTAGAGCTAGCAGGGACCTTAGAAATCATATAGGTCAACCCCTTTATTTTACATTTGGAGAAATGAAAACTTTTTAATCTTAAACTTTTAAAATATTATTTTATTTTTCCCTAATTACACATAAAATAATTCTTAACATTAATTTTAAAAAATAATTTTGAGTTCCAACTTCTCTCCTTTCCTTTCCTCCCCTCTCTAAGATAGTAAGTAATCTGATGTAGGTTATACAGGTGTAATCATGTAATATATATTTCCACATTAATCACTTTGTGGAAGAAAACTCAAACCAAAAAGAAAGAGAAAAGAGAAAAATGGTAATTCTTTGGTCTGCATTCAGACTCTGTCAATTCTTTCTCTGGAGGCGGATAGCATTTTTCATCATGAGTCCGTTGGGATTGTCTTGGATCATCGTTATTGATGAGAATAGCTAAATCATTCACATTGTTCATTGTACATTATTGCTGTTACTGTGTGCAATGTTCTTCTGGCTCTGCTCACTTCACTCTGCATCAGTTCATGTAAGTCCTTCCAAGTTTTTCTGAAACCATCCTGCCTGTCATTTCTTATAGTGCAATAGTAATCCATCCTAATCATATATCATAATTTGTTCAGCCATTCTCCAATTGATGGGCAACCCCCTAGAAATTGAGAACTATTGAAAGAAAGTGGGTTTCTTGTGGTCACACCCCAATTAAGTGGTTAAGACTAAAATGCAGATCTTCTATGTCCAAATCTAGGATTCTTTTCATTGTTGAGTCATTTCAGTTCTATCTGACTTCATGATCCCATGTGGCGTTTTCTTGGCAAAGATACTGAAGTGGTTTGCCATTTCCTTCTCCAACTCATTTTATAGATGAGGAAACTGAAGCACTGTTAGTGTCCAGTAAGTGTCTGAGGTCAGATTTGAACTTAAGTCTTTCTGACTCCACACCCAGTTCTCTATCCATTGTGCCACCTAGTTGCCCCATTCTTTTCATTGACCCCCAAAATAACTTACATTCTTTTTAGGATAATCATATATTTTATCTAATTGCTTTATATTAACTGTCACAGTATCTATCATTTTAATATTTATAACCCAGAGTAATAGAATGAAAGGGCTGAAAGGAACCTTAAAGTTCATTTAGTCCACCTGCCTTAGTTCAAAACCCTTCATATCCTAGTACCACTTCCTGTCCCACACCATTCTAGGCTTCTTACACCTTATTCCCCTTCGTGTACTCTTCAGTCCTGTGACACTGACCTCCTTGCTATTCCACAAACAAGATACTCCATCTCTCCCCTTCCAAACATTCTCTCAACCAGTCTCCCATGCCTGGAATGCTCTCCCTCCTCACTTCTGCCTTCTGGCTTGCTTCAAGTACTATTTAAGATCCCATCTTCTACAGAGCCTTTCCTATCAATGCCTAATTCTAGTGCCTTCTCTCTGTCCATTGTTTCCTATTTATCCTGTATATAGATTGTACATAGGTTTTTTTACATGTTGTCTTCCTCATTAAACTGTGAACTC